GTGGGCCGAAGTAACTAGATGTTGTCTTGAACTGATGCTCGATATGAGACGGTGCTTAATCTGAAATAATGCTCAACTAGAAGTAGCACATGTTGCGAGGCTGCTCGGTTTATGGCTTATGTTGCTTTGGTTGGCTCGGCTTGTGGCGTTGAAGGTAAGGGAGTCCCTTTTATAGAATAAGGGCTAACTCCTCAATACATAAGTGATGGGCTAAGAGTTGATGCTCGCGGCGAGGCGGTTGCTCAGCAAGCGGTGATGCTCTCTAATGATGGTGAGGAAGTCCCTTTTATAGAATAAGGGCTCGCTCCTCAATACATAAGTGATGGGCTAGAGTTGATGCTCGCGGTGAGGCGATTGCTCAGTAGGTGGCGATGCTTTCTAATGATGGTGAAGGAGTCCTTTTTATAAAATAAGGGCTCGCTCTTCAATACATAAGTAATGGGTTAGAGTTGATGCTCACGACGAGGCGGTTGCTCAGCAGGCGGCGATGCTCTCTAATGATGGTGAGGGAGTCCCTTTTATAGAATAAGGGCTCGCTCCTCGATACATAAGTGATGGGTTAGAGTTAATGCTCGCGGCGAGGCGGTTGCTCAGTAGGCGGCAATGCTCTCTAATGATGGTGAGGGAGTCCCTTTTATAAAATAAAGGTTCGCTCCTTAATACATAAGTGATGGGCTAGAGTGATGTTCGCGGCGAGGCGGTTGCTCAGCTGGCAGCGATGCTCTCTAATGAAGGTGAGGGAGTCATTTTTATAAAATAAGGGTTCGCTCCTCAGTACATGAATAATGGGTGTTCTCTAATGAAAGTGAGGAAGTTCCTTTTATAAAAAGGGTTCGCTCCTCAGTACATAAGTAATAGGCTAAGTCCCCCAAGTATTTTTCATGAGACCCAATTGAGGCCCAATATATGGTACATAATGTAGTCCCCCAAGTCATCAGTCAAGAGAGTCTTTTGGCTGGAGACTTGAAAATTCAATCCATGTATGGGCCGAAGTGGCGGTTGTTCGGAGGCGGTATTTGTATACCCTGCACTAAAGCTTTGTAAGTGAAGCTTTGCAAGTGAAGTTTTGAAGTTGGAGCTTTTGTAAATAAAGCTTTTGAAGCTGGAGCTCTGTAAATGAAGCTTTCAAAGCTGGAGCTATGTAAATGAAGCTTTCAAAGCTGATTGACATGAGTGATGCTCATGAATGTTTGATTGACATGAGTGATGCTCATGGATGTTAACATGAGTGATGCTCATGAATGTTGACATGAATGTTTGATTGACATGAGTGATGCTCATGGATGTTGACATGAGTGATGCTCATGAATGTTGACATAAATGATGGTCATAAATGTATGTATGATTGACATGAGTTATGCTCATGAATGTTTATGTATGATTGACATAAGTGATGCTCATGTATAATTTTGGAGTACTGGACGTACTTTTGATCACCTGGTTAGTGATAATAGTGGCAGGCTGCCGAATAATTTTTAGAGTACTGGGCGTACTTTTGATCACCTGGTTGGTGATAATAGCGGCGGGCTGCCAAATAATTTTTTGTAGTACTGGGCGTACTTTTGATCACCTGGTTGGTGATAATAGCGGCAGGGTGCCGAATAAATTTGGAAGTACTGGGCGTACTTTTGATCACCTGATTGGTGATAATAGCGGCAAGGTGCCGAATAAATTTAGAGCCATAAGGCCTGGCTCTTTTGGGCATATAGGCCTTCGCCCTCCACATAACATTGCAGCCCATTATTTTGGGCTTGCCTTTTTTTTTATTTTTATTATTATTACCCTCTGATGGGGTTTATACAGATGTCTCCGAAAGATAAGAAAAATAAATCACACCATTCAAAAACAAGAAAAGTAAATTACATCATTCTGGTGGGGTGTTTATTCCTTGCTTTTGCAATGTGATGTTTATTCCTTGCTTTTGCTTTCTGCTTTGCAGGCTTTTGTACTTTGCTTTCGCTTTTGTTTCCCATTGCGCCTTTCTCTTTTGCTTTTATGCCGCAGCTCACTTGATTACTTTTGCTTTTCCTTCGCACCTTTGTTGCTTTTGCCTTGCTTGAACTGACGAATATGACTCATTGGTGACAGCTTACACCTCACTCTTTTGCTTTTGTCATTCTTTTTTCATTATTCTGTTGCCGCTCCTTTGGCTGTTGAATCCCACCAGAGAACGACTTTTGGCTTGTTTGAAAACGACCACTGCATCCCTGAAGCCAGGTCATCGTAGAGCGTCTTGGCTAACAGGCTGCCATTGTTTATCATTTTCACGGAAGAAGACAAGGGTTTTGTGACAGACTGGTGCTCCTGCAACCAACAACTCTCTCTCTGCAAATACAGAACACTTGGTTTAGTAACTTGTTGCAATGCGGCAGCACAGGCAAAAATGGACTCAGCTTGTGAAGCTTCCCAAGCAGCTCAGATAGATATTTTTCTTTCTCAGCGGCAATGAGAGCAGCGGATGAGGAGGTGGAGCGAAGGCCAGAGAGGTGAAGGGAGTGAAGTGCCGACGGTGACGGCGAGTACGCCATGTACCTTCCACCGCCCGATGATGATGTCATTTCCATAGCGACTCTCAGATGTCCGATCGTCTTCTCCTTCTTCTGGTCATCTGAGGGATCTCTCTTTGTGTGTAGGTCAGAGGCTGGCCGGCGGGACGATTGCTACTGGGCACTTCAGGTTCAAACTCCATGGGCAAACCCAAGAACCTATTGAACCTATCAAATGTGACATGTGCAGCGTGTCGCACATTGGTTGGCCATTGCAGATAGGAACTGAGCAGATTGGGTTGGGCTTGAGTAACTAACACGCCCAACTAGCGCCTAGCGGATTTTAGAACATTGACTAAAACAAAAAAGAACAAGGGCATTTTAGTAATCATATTGATTTTTATTTCGATTTAAGTGAATTAATAAACAACTTATATAAACTCAGTTTTATTTCTACTCCAATTTTAGAATATTTAAGTAAACAGCTTCAGCATGAATTTGATTCTTACTCTTCCTTAATTCAATTCTTCGTCAATCCAATTCTTATTATTTTTTAGGTAAACGTGCCATAAATCTTCAAGTTCACAGATGCGGTGAAGTGTCTCGAGCTCTTCATCTCCACGACAAGACGTAGTAGGACTCGCTTTCAAATTTCCAAATTTTCGCTCCCTTTGCTTTCCTTTTTTCTCACATTTTTATTGTATTTATTTGCTTATAAAAAAGTCACATGAAATCAGTGGCGGAGCCAAGATCTTACATCACGGGGGGCCTTTCACAATTATGAAACTTTATTTTTTAATGCCTAAAATACGAGATAGATTGGTTGTATTTCGATTTATTTATCTCAACTCAGAAAAATATCATACCGCATCAATCATTAGGTTAATATGCAAGATAGGGGTAGATTACCCATACCGCATCAACCATATAGTCACATAATCCAACTAATATTTAAGAGCATATGGACTAGAAGTTCAAGCCAACAAAGAAAAATATCAGCCAACATTCTTAGAGTAAGTGATAAATCCTGACAATTATTCAATTACCGCGGTCAGAAACTTCGACCTAAATTAATCTCCTCCGCCCAAAGATGAACGTGAAGTAATTAACAAGTTGAAGAAGCTACATCATTATAACTAGAATAAGAGAATCCCAAATCCATGAATTTCAAGATTGCAACTAAATTTACCAGAAATAAAAAGAGGTTATGCTATATCTTATACATAAAAAAGGAAAAAAAATTGCAAGATAGGCCCATGACTGCCCTTGTTCTTTAGTGGCTCTGCCACGGCATGAAATATTAACTTTGCTTAATTGTGACTTTTTAAACAAAATAGATTAAACAATAGAAAATTTAGAGAAAAGAGAAATCCTATTCCGAACAAGGTTGACACTGACTCATCTCATCATAGCCATGAATATTCGGAAGAGATTTTCTTCGGAACTCTCATACCAAAGTTCATAAATTAATTAATTCGAATTTTTGAAATTTAATCTAACGGTTACAAATAGAGGGCTCATTTAAAAGTTATAATAATTTTAGCCGTTTGATCAAATTTTAAGAATCCGGACTAATTGATTGTTAAGCTTTGGTGGAAGAGATCTAGAGTCTTGAATATTCTATGCCGACATGAACATACATTTTTCCCTTGCACACACCGCCACGTTTCTCAGTAGTCAACGTGTTGACAAGGCACCGAAGTCACTATTCACGTACGTGTAACAAGTAAGAACCCCACTGTGACATGCATGACTGTTCATTTGCCTACATAAACTGATCCAAACTTTTAACTCCATAATCCATCAAATCCGATCAAAGTACATTCAAAATTTTCAAATAAAAAGAAACGGTTTCATTGTGTTTATTGAAAAATAGCACATTACCATAACCAGTTCGGGCCACCACCGACCAATGCCCACAGAAACCCGACCCAGGCAACCGACGAGTACAGCACCCCGGTGGGTCCCCGAGTGGACAAGTACGGAAACCCTCTTGGTCATCACGGTGCTAATTAGACCTGTCATTTTTCATCTGACTCATTAATCCGACTCGACTCGATCCGTTAAAATTAGCATTCAGGTGAGTGATAAACGGGTTCGGTGGTTAACGGGTCAACCTGTTAATCATCCGTTAAATAACGGGTCATTTTGAGTGAATTCGTAAAACCCGTTAACACCCGTTAGTTGTGCTCATTCCCTTCTGTTCTGGTTATCTCCCTATCTTCTTCCTCAAAAAATTTTACTGAACTTCACTACTCTCTTTCTGGTAAGCTCCGATTCCCTTCCACCTCTTCTTTGAATCAGTCACACCTGCTAGCCACTGGAACCACCTCGGCCATAGGAGTTGACAAGGGCGTTTGGATTGGAGACATTCTGCAGATAGGACACGTAGGGTTCAACCGCAGCCATGGATCAACGCACTTGAGGTGGAAGAGGTGTCTACAATCTGGCAGCAGCCGCAGCATGTCGCTGTTTTTTTTTTTTTGGGAGTTGGTCACTCACAATATGTGGAATTCTTGATGTTCTTGCCTTCTTGGTTGCTCCAATGACTCTCAGGCCAAGAGGGTCCGAGTTCTTGAGCTTTCATGCAGGCAATTTCCTAATTCCTTTCTTCTTATTCCTTTTTTTTTAATTTTTAGGTGTTTTTAAACGTTATAATTCTTAATTATTGGTTGAATTAAGAGCAGCAGGAGGCAGAGGAGTCTTTTTGCATATTGGATGAACTATTAAAAAAAAATTGTTACGGAGCTAACGGATGACCCGTTAGCTTAATTGGTTAAGTTCGGATGATCCGTTAACTTAATGGGTTGGATTTGGATGACCCGTTAAATTAACGGATTAGATTGAACCCAACCCAAACTCAATAAACCCGACCCGTTTACAGGTCTAGTGCTAATACTAGCATTACTCCTTCCATCGCCAGAGAATACGGTGCTCAAGACACGGTTGGTCACGATTATGGCAGGAAAGAGCACCATGGTGCCACTGGCATGCTTCATCGCTCTGGCAGCTCAAGCTCGAGCTCTGTAAGTAGTCTCTTTTCCCCATATAAAAATGCGACACTAATTTTACATAAGATTTTGTTATTTGTACCATTATTTTGTTGTCTAAAAAGATAACGACCTAGCCAAAAGGGTTAGACTTAATTGGCCACATTATTTTCACACAAGGGAACGTGTGTGTGAAATCCTAATACAATTATTGTTTATTTGTATCATCTCAAATTATTATATTTTTAGGGAGGTGGTATTCCTAATATTTCAAGAGACAAACAAAATTTACCTTGAAACTGTTTAACTTATATTTTCTCCTGGAATTTATATATGTTGGGTATGTAATTATTGTGGTGCAGTCATATGAGGATGATGGGCTAGGTGGGAGGAGAGGGGCTGAAACAGAAGATAAAGGAGAAGCTCCCAGGTTCAACCACAACTGACACAACATACGACACCACCTACCCCGGAAGGCACCACCAGGAGAAGGGAATGAAGGACAAGAACAAGGACAAGCTGCCGGAGGGCCACAAGGATGACCCCTACTACTCAACACCACATACCACTTTGACCACCACTACTTACGGCGTCACCACTTACATGGAGGAGCACCACGAAAAGAAGGGGATTATGGACAAGATCAATGAGAAGCTTCCCAGCGGACACCACTGGCGATTATAATATTATTCCTGTAATATAAGTCAATTACAGTATAATGTAGTGGTTTAGCGTTGTTAATCATATAATAAGCTATAGTAGTGCCTAATATCAGAGTGTGCAAGGAATAAGACTACAAAATAATAAGAATATTATTAAACAAACTGAGAATGCCGAAACGGCTACAAAATTTCAAGAGGCTACATCGTGACTAACATATTCACAACCGAACAACAAGCACGCTATTTATAATAAAGCTAAACCTGACTCTAATGCTAACAGGCTAAGCTTAAGAAACCAAACATTAAAGTAAACATAAATGCTAATAGTTTTCAACATCCTCGTCAAACTCATGGCGGTATACGACATGGGTTTGCAAACAAGCAGATGCGGACGGGCTCTGTTAGATGGACTGGTAAGTGTGGATGCAAATTTCTTCCTCCTTGATCTTGGACAAAATTGCACCTATAAAACAATTAACACCTTAGGTCAAGGCCAAGAGCCTCACACGCCCACGATGAATGGGGGGGCTTTGGCCGAAGAACCTCTGATGCCAAAGTTAGAATTTAGAGAGAAAAAGTGTTTGAGAATTCTATAGGATTTTAGCAAGAGTGTTGGATTGGTCTTTTGGTGAAAATGGGAGCCTATTTATAGGGATAGGGTGTAACTTATGGTTTAATGTGTGATTTAATGGATTAGGAAATTAGTCCATTAATTGGTTAATCAACACATTTTGGTATAAATATTTTGGGGGTTATGTGATTTATGTGGAATATTTTGTAAGTTATGGAATGATTACCTTGTCAAAAATATAGGATCAGGATGGATGAAATAATTTTGAATTTGTTACCTATTTTGGGCACTTTTGTTTTGATTGACGGATGAGGGTATGTTGCTAGCGCGTAGGAATCCCGGTATGCCTTAAGGGTATTTTTGTCCTTTTTACCCAAAAATCCACGTGTCGTCTTGTGATTATTTTTGGCTCCACAAATGCCCTCACACCTGTTTGGGCTGCTCGCAGGAAAGGGCAGCAGGTGTAGAGATCTTGTTTTATGAAACATAGGACTGCTTCCTTTGTTTTTATGTAGATTCCCTCTTTGATAGGAAATTAGATCCTTCTAGGAAAGGGAAATAAATTTCTCTCAAAGTCTATTTAAGTCCACCTTAAGTGGGTTATTAAATCAACTTTGGAGAGTGATTTACTCTACCCTACAAGAGAGAGAGAACTTAGAGGATATTTGTTCCCCTTCCTCTAGCAATCTTCTACATCTTGCCCGTGCAAATGATCGTTTTTCATTGATTTCTTCGTCGTCTCCATGCCGCACCGATGTAAGAAAAATTAAATTTTTCTTGTCTTCTTCTTGGATAGTGCTGCCGCGGAGCAGCAATCAGGGTGGTGTAGCACGTTGGCTATCAAGGGCCAGGAGTCAACTTGGTATGGGCCGATGAGGTGTTGTGGCAGGGACCACTGCTTTAGGTTGCTCAACTTGGCTTCAGCCATGGGCAGCTTGTACGATTAGGACCTCAGATTGAAGCGTTGAAATGTGGTGCTAGGTGAGCCGCATGGCTCATGTCCTTTGGGCTCTTAGACTTGACACGGGCCAGGCCGACGATTGAGAGAAATGAGGAGGTAGCGGGCCTTACGAGCTGCTAGAATGTTGGGCATGCAGACCTCTTGCCTGCTGGAATGTTAGGTTGAGCTCCCCTACTGTCTCGAAAGATAAGGTAAAGAGGATCAAGGCGGATGCATTGGCTCGTCTGATCGCTGTCGTGGAGCTAACTATGAATGAAGGTGGAAATAAGATATCTTCCCCGCCTGCTCAAGAAATGCCGGTTGAGAAAAACCGAAGCCTTCCTCCGCTGCTCATGAGGGTCTGTCTACTGCTAAAATGCTTGTGATTGACATAACTTCTTCCAATGGGAAGAAAAAAATGAGGCTGCTAGATCTGTGCATGTGGCGCCTACCATGTCAAGAATGGCTAGTATGATTGCTGATAGGATTGCTCAGCATAAAGGTCCTGTCATGTCCCCAATGCCGAAGTCTGTACCAAGATGTCTGTTGAGAGCTAAGTTCGGTTCACCTTTAGAGAGGCTTGCTACTATGAATAGCGATAAGGTGGACTCTATTGCTAAAGTGGCGCCAAGGCCCACTCCCTTTACTGCTGAGACTAATTCTCTTGCTAAGAAGGATAAGACTGTTCGCGTGGGCAGCTATGAGAAATTCACTAAGTTGCTTCTGAGGAGGCTGCTGAGATCTGTATGCTTTTGAAACTAAATCTGCTTAAAGACATAGACGTTTATGCCAAGTTTGTTGATGGCGGTAGAAAGGTTGTTTGCCCAAGTTCCTTTGCGAAGCACACGACCCAATATAGAAGGACTGTTCTGCTTGCTATGATGCATATATAGCAAGGCTGCCAAGGAGGTGGCGAAGACTATGGCAGCTGAAGCTTATTCCTCAGCCGAAGAGATCAAGAGGTTGGATCCTGAGCTTGTTACTTTGAAGGGTCTAATATTTCTGCCTCCACTTCTCTGCAGCTTGAGATTGCTCACCACGAGATCGTTGACTTAAAGACTAGGCTTGACGCGATCCAAGTTAAGTATGAAAGTGCAGAGAAGAAGATTGGATATTACATACCTCATATTCAAGATCCTGAGTTTGCAGTTTCTGAGCTTTGTTTCACTGCTTATGCAAATGATGAAGAGTTGATTATTGCTTATAATCAAGTGATCCACTTCAAGAGAATCGTCAATAGGCTTGAACCCCAAATGTTGGAACTTCAAGGTGTACTGAAGATCAATGAAAGTTTGAAGAAGGAAGTGGATGAGCTTCTCTATTTCTCCGAAAGACTTGCTTGCTTTTACTTTTGAGGCTTGCATTGGGGAAGTAGTTGGAGAAGTTAAGGCCTAGGCTGGGGCAGCCAGGGGTGAAGCGCTTGATAATGCCGCTGCTAAGAAAGTCGCAGCTGCTGAAGGTGTGGCGACCGAGTAGTCGTGGGATGACTAAGCTGCTGTAGTCTTCTAGGTAGCCTTTAGGATTTTATTTGTTTTTCCTTGTAGCTCTTGTTTTGCTTGAACTCTTTTGGCCTTTGCTAATTGTTTATACACATGTTTCCTTCGATTTTCTTCATCTTCGCTTATTTTGTTCATGCCCTAACCTTTAGACTTGATAGACCAGTGGCAGGCATGCTACTTTTTTATAAGAAGACAAGCTCGCGTAGCCTATGCAGCCGTAGATGTTGGTATAGAACTTTGCAAAGTTGTTAGCCTTAGGGTTGGCAGCGAGATGCCTTACTTACAGAAGCAGACAAGTTTGCGTAACCACTAGACTGTTAACATTGGCTTTCTCCAATTCCGTAGGTTGCGTAGCAAGTATCACAACACTTTAGGACTTGGTGTAGGTTGTTCCGCGCTTGGCAGAGGTGAAGTTTATCAACCACGTAGCATGTCGGCAGTGGATAAAACTTCGTATATGCACGCTAGCTTGTTTAACCTTTCACAAGAATGTGCGGTTGTATAAGTCTAGCGTGGTTTTACTGCTCGAAGGGCAAGCCGTAGGCAGTTTTCCGAAAACCGTAGACTACCTTAGTGCACTTAGTAGTAGCTTTAGGGTTCCAGGGCAACCATCTGTAAGGCGTACTCCGTAATATGCCCCCTCCGTCTCTAGGGCCCGGTTCCCCACGGATTAGGCCAAGAGACTCAAAATCCTTCAGTTAGCTAAGCCTCGAAAAAGACCATTATGGCTACTTTTAGGAATCCCGGCGTAAGCCATTATGCATCTAGTTATACTAGGGCAACCTGGCTAATCCACGTTTGGATATTCGGAGTGTAAAGTGTATCCTCCCCTCTTGGAGAGCTGACCCATGTGGGTGTCGGGGAATTGGTTTACCCTTTCGCACTGGAGAGTAATTAGTTTACCCTCTCGCACTAGAGAGCATGGTTGGTCCCTCGAATGGCGCAATTCCTGCGATAAGTCCCTAAAAAGGGCGCAGTCTTCTTTTGAAGTGCAGGAGTGATCAGTTGTTGTAAGCATGCAGCCGAGCCAATTTGTGATTACTTCTGAATTCCCCATTGAAAAATGAATGAAACGAACGAGAACTTAGCTATAAAGTAAGAACTGCATAACAATTGGATAGTCATCGGCTTGTGAGATGGTGCCCGTCGAGCTGCTTGAGTCTTCGGGCTTTGATGTAGCTGGAGATCACACATGGTACTTCCTCAGATTGTAGACGTACCACTGCTTTTCGATCTTTTTGTTGTTTCATGGTGGCGAGGGTGTAATTACTTTTGTTGCCTACTCTGTTGATCTTGTACTAACCTTTCCATATGGGATCCATCTTTTTAGAGCCTTCTCTGCGGGCAGTGATAAAGGATTTTCTTATGACTAGATCTTCAGGCTAGAACTACCGGATCTTGGCCTTTTTGTTGTAGTTGGAAATGAGTTGTTGGTAGGCTGCAATGCAAGTGATGGTCTGCTCGCGTTTATCCTCTGCCAGACCTAAGCTTGTGGCCATCTCCTTACTATTCTGCTCAATGCTTGGTAGTAGAGCGATGATACTTGGCTTGATGACATTAGGATGAATGATTGCTTCTTAACCAAATGCCAAAGAGAAAGAAGTCTCACTGGTTGCTCATCTTTTGGTGGTACGATATGCTCATAGACATCTAGGGAGTTCGTCTGGCCATTTTCCCTTCTTATTGGTGAAGGATTTCTTGAGGCAGTCAAAGATTGTTTTGTTGGATACTTCGACTTGCTCATTGCCTTAAGGATATATTGGCATGGACATGTGTTGCTTTATGCCATACTTTTGGAAGAACTTAGCCAAATCTCTGCCCATGAATTGCAGGCCGTTGTGGGTGACGATGGACTAAGGGATGCCAAAACGGTAAATGATATTCCTTCATTTGAAACGCTCTATGTCTGTCTGAATCGTGGTTGTCATAGGCTCTGCTTGTACCAATTTGGTGAAGTAGTCGGTTGCCACGATCATCATGTCTCTGCCCCTAGTAGTAGGTGGCATAGGTCTTACCAGGTCAATTTCCCACTGCATGAACTGCCAATGACTCATCTGCAGGTGTAGTTTGCTAGCAGGTAGTGCTGGTACCAGCTTGTAGTGTTAGCAGCGGTC